ATACAGGTTCCTTATAATTTTAATCTTAAAAGTACTTTTTAGGTGTTAAAATCTGAACCGTGTAATTCGTGGTATGTTCAACTCATGGTTAGGCCCCAGTGCACAGTTGCTGCAGTTAATCCTTCCAACGGTAACCATTTCTATAATACATGTCAAATGTTGCGTTTTCCTGGCCGCTGTGAAGTGGGGGGGTGTGTTGTGCTGTAGCTGAGGCAAAACGGGCTGTTGATGGCGTAGTAAATGCAAGTAGAGAATCTGCAATAGGATATTTAATATGGGGAGATTCACAGGATCCCTAGGGCACAAAAGAAGTTATATCTTGTGCAGATGTGACAGACTTGTTTTCCACTGCTTTACAGGATTAGTTTTAGGCGGGATATAGCTGCTGCAGTTGTACTATGTTGATTGAATGATACTTTTCCTGAAGACAGGTTTTTGAAGTCTTAAGCGATGATGAGGAAAAAGTGATAACTGGTTTAAATTATATGTGGTGGTGCCAAATTCAACTAGATTTTTCTCAGCGCAACTGACTAGGAGGCTTTATTTCCTGTGGCTTAAAGCATCGCTTATAACTTCTCTGTTAGGAATTTTCTGTGAGGAGTGTTTGCCTCAAACCGTTTTGTTTTGACTGAAACTAAATAATCAAACAGCTCTGTCCATGAACATAGCTAGCAGATACATAATTTGCCTAAACTAGATATACAGATTTTAAATAACAGTATTGTCGTGTATCTTGTAACATATTCATCTCTCTGATTTCTAGATCTATAGAAACACTAAAGTTGTAAGCTACAGTTAAAAGTTAAGTCATTTCTATGAAAAGTCAACTGCCGCTCTGCCAAACTATATGCATATGAGTTTATAAGCTTTGTGTATGCTAAACATGTGGTGGTGTCCTAGCAGCTTAAATCTGCAGGGATCATTCCCTCACTGTATATTTCTTCACTTTTCTGAGCTCCCAATGCTGACCAAATTTCATGTGCAGCATCCTAGTACAGTTGCTGAATGTATTCTGTTTCCATTTGTTTTTACATGTTGGTACAGTAAATCTGGCCCAGGGCACTTTGAGAAATGGGATTTCTCATAGCTGACTGGGGAAATAATTTTATGTGCTCATGTCTTTGATTTTTTTTTTTTCTATTTTTTTTATTCTTCACAGTATAGGCTAAAGTTAGCATTATGTAGCTGAAGTGGCGAAGGACTGTAATACAATGGAATGAATCAGTCCTTCAGACTTTTCTATTTTCAGGGCAGAGTCAGGGTTGTATTTATTAAAGGATGTATATAACTAAACCTTGAACAATGAGGAGGAACTACATATCAAGTGGCTGCTCATTAATGGTGTGTTATCCATTGTCTGTCTTGAATAGAAAGTGTGTTGAAAAAAAATGTGTTCTTATGTAATTCAGAAGTCTGTGACAAAGCTTAGGTGCAATGAGAAGATCTCAGGTGGAACAGACTTAAGTTTTATCAGCTTTTTTCCTTCAAGTTCTTCAACAATTAGTCTACAATTATCTGCAAGACCACAAAGAAAGGATAGCTACTGATTTTAGATCAGAAGGGACATTTGGAGGTAAACTAGTCCTACCCACTTGCTCACAGCAGCTTAAAGCAAGGCCAGCCAGATAGAGTTTTCAGGCCTTGTCAAGTTCTGGTGAAGCTGAAATCTCCTTTCTTGAAGTCCAGGGTTGTAATTACACTGTTTGTCTTGATCAATTCTCTTGGAGTTTTAAACTCCATAAACTTGTGGTTTCTGCAGTCAAATAGAAGCATTTAAGTCAAGCTTATTTGTGTTGTGTTTTGGGGTTTTGTGGTCTTGGTGGCTTGTGTTGTTTTGGTTGGGGTTTGTTTGGTTGGTTTGTTTTGTTGGTTTTTTTTAACATGATTGCAGTGTGGCAGTAACTCTTATTATCCTTCCTCTTTGGCTTCTACTTGATGTCTGCACCCTGTGTTTTCAGACTGGAGTGACTATTTTTTTCATAATTTGGGGGAAAGAAGTGGTACCGGTGCAATGTTAATACGCCCTCTTTTTCCAAACAAAGCAATGGGTATCCTGTATACCCTCAAGAAGGGGAGGAAGGGAAGGGATGGGAAGTTGAGGTACCCAACAAACAAGTGGCTTATTATTATGCAGATAATTCTGACCTGGACAATAAGGAAACAACTGCTGGCCACCAGGCTTCAGTTAACAGGTTAGTTTGGGCTCTGGTTGTTGCATCTGAATGATCTTTGTGCACAAACCCAAAGTACTGAGTATCTTCAGGTTAGGCCTAGAAGCAAAGCTCTATGTTCTGTAAGGAGAAAATGAGTTCTGTTAAGCAGTTAAGTCCCATGACAGGCCTATGAAGACATAATTGGTTCTAATTGGCACTCATAGAGCACTGACATGCTCTACCTGCAGCCAAATAGTTCTGAGAGGCAAAGAAATAATCTGTCTTTATAAATAGCAAAGAACTCTCTTCCAAGCTTGTCTTTGCTGCTGATAACCAATACAAAGAAAAGGAGAACTTGCAATTCAAGTGAGAATAGTTTTGGAGAGTGTTTTTTAATCTATGAAGCCATCAACGAGTGAACTCATCTTCATTTATTTAACATGTTGCTATGCCTCATTTTGGTCTGTAATGCAATACACACAACTCTTAAAACAAACTGGTAAATGTAGGGTGGATATTCTTAATGTAGTATATAGTGGGCAGTTGATATGGATGAGAGGAAGCCATAGATAATTCACTACCCAGTCATCTCTAACTAGCTCTTTAATCAAGAGCTTACAGGTACTGTTGGGGATGTGTTTAAAGAGACACACAAAACCCCTTTCTATATAGATTTCAGTAGTTGTGCACCCTCTGTTTTGAGTTGCAAACTGAATGAGGAGGTAGAGTTCAGTCTGTAAAATTAATCTTTCTGGAACTGAAATACGTGCACAGTTCCAGTATGCCAATGTGCTCTTTTGTTAAATCAGAATTATGAGTGAGGTTTCCTACCTTACCCTGATTTCAGAGACATTTGTTTGAATTTACTGGGCATGTTCTGGTGGGTATGCACAGACCTGGAAGGAAAGAAACGTGAATTCATTTTCACTCTGTCATTGAGTCAGCTGTTCACAAATCATTTCCCTTCTGTGTGCCTGAGTTTTCAATGTCTGTTTTGATAACGTGTGCTAAAATGTCTAGAGGAAGCTTCTTAAGCGAGGGTGAAGTGTATCAATTATTTCTGCCGATATGTAGTATTTATTTAGAATTGAGGTCATAAAGAGCTTTAGTGGAGCTGCAGCTTTGCAGGCAAGTGTAGACATTATGCATATATGAACCCACCTGTTTTTGTATTTAATTGCATTTAATTGCATTTATTCTGTTTGGGATTGCTTGATACATGTTGCTGATTGGGATATAGTGGGGGGAAAAAAAAAAATCATTAGTTGTAGTTTCACTCGGGCTGGAAAATGTTCCCAGTACATTGTCTGTACTTTCTACAGATATTTCATGCCTGATGCAGTATGGGAGCTGGTTATTTTTGCTTACTATTCTGGAGCTTGTGACCCATTGTAATACTGCTCAGAAAATGAGGTGCAGTAAGCGGCTGAAGCATTCAGAAGTGTTGTTCCTGTCCTGCCTGTAGGTTTGGGTCTAGGACAGCAATTTTAACCATATTTTCCAAGAAGCTTAGGGGCTGATTTTATGACTACTGAGTTATAAAATCCTGCTTCTAACTCGGAGTGTTGAGCACAAGTGAGAATGTGAACTCCAAATGCTTCTGCTTCTCAGCTTCTTCATCTGCAACAATAATTCCTCACTTGTGTGCCTGTCTTGCTCAGCTCAGATGGCCCTCGTGAATGTGGGAGGACAGTGTTCAGCTTTGGAGAGGTTTGGTGTTGTCCTTAAAAATAAGGTCAAGGAACAAATTCTCAGGCTTACTGTAAAGACGAACGATGCTGCAAATATGTGGAATATATACACAAAATTCTTACGAAGTGTTGAGAAAGGGGTAGTCTCCCCCTATGTGTAAATAGTCTTCAGCTGAAGACAAGCCCAGCCTCAAGTAGACCTGCAAAATATTCCCATTGAATCTCATACTTCTGAAACAGGTGTGACTTGTTTTTTTTTCCTCAACAGCAGTGTCCTATCTGGCATTGTCTGGCATATTAGCACTAATGAAATCATTCATTTGTGATAAGCTCTTCACTTACCTTCTTCTTAAATGCTGCTTGTCTTTATTGAGGAACTAATAAAATGTACTTCATCAGGTCGTACACAAAAGAAATTTCTTGAATCATACATACCTAAAGAGGAAACCTGCTTGTTTGTTTGTAGTTCCCCTGCTGTGGTGTGTGTAGGAAGATGAGGATGTTCTGAATTACATGCATGCGCATTTAGATTACTCTCCTGATGTGTTTGTGAGTCTCGAGTCCATGCTCATCTGAAGGATGAACTTTCCAGGAGAGAATTACACTGTTTGTTACTGAGTCTAATGGTGCAAGGCTAATGGTGAAGGAACAGATATGTTTTGTGTGATAAAAAGTTATTTCACCTTCATATCTCCTTCCGTCAGAAAAAGTATCTAGCATTGCAGAGTCATTGCTCTACAAAGGAAAAATTTCAGTTTTATAGAAGAAGAATACATGTAGGATGTTGGAGAGGGCAGTCTAAAGCGCCATTTCATGTGTCTTATAACAAATATGGAATCAATTCCAATATCAGAGAGAGATCATGAATGTCGTTTGTCATGAAATTGAAGGATTTTAGCATGTGTTGTACTCTTATCTTACCTGAGTCTGAAAATACAGGTTTCTAACACCACCTCTTTGCATTAATTTTCTTGCAGTCTTGTGTTATTAGTAACCTGGCCAGCAGGAGGTATTAATTTCACCCCTTTAACTAATGAAAGCATATGCTTCCTTATATTCCTCTTGGAAGTCATAGCATTGTTACCAGAGTTGGCAAATAAATAAATGAAATGGGTAACTAACACTTTTTTTTTTTCTTTGGTTTTGTTTTTTGCAGCTGGTGCCACATATATATTTGGGAAGAGTGGTGGTCTCATCCTGTACACCTGGCCAGCGAATGACAGACCAAGCACAAGAACAGACCGTCTCGCTGTGGGCTTCAGCACAACGGTGAAGGATGGCATTCTCGTTCGGATTGACAGTGCCCCTGGGCTTGGTGACTTTCTACAGCTGCACATAGTGAGTAAAGACAGGCCCATGTCTGTGCCAGACCTGGGTTTCTGTTAACTGAATACACGTTTGAAGAAAGCTATTATTATAAAATAATATGTGTCATACTCTGCAATTTGTATACCTTCCGCACTCATCAAAATTAACCTGCTTTAGGTAGTTCTTAAGGTTTTGTAGAATTACTGAATCAGATACACCGGGAACCAAGTAAGTGGGAGACACACCAAACCAAGCCAAAAAAATACAAATCTTTTGAGATTCAATTGCAATAGGGTTTATTAAAAAAATGTGGAAATATTTTGTGCCAGTATTAATCTACTGTGGCATATGCCCAGTGATTAATATAGCTGAACTTATGGAGGAGAGTATTGCTATTCTCAGAAGACAAAGAAAGAAATGGAGTGATACGGTGGGGCTTTTTTCCTCACTGAGAAAGTTAAGTGAGAAGTGAGCAGATGCTCAAGCTGATATAACTGATGCTTGTTTTAGCAAGATTTAAGAATTTAATGTTGTTAGCACAACATGAACTTGCAAGAAGAAAATAGACTTTTTTGTGAGAGCAAGTAGTAAAGTAGGGAAACTTGAATGAAGGTGGCTTTAGGGAAAATTGAATTGTTTGAGAAAATGAGAACACTAGGGCTGGAAAGTTTTGGAGTTTGTTATATGATGCTTTTGTTGGGGGGGAGTTGTTTGCTTTGTTTTCTTCTGTAAAAAAAAAAAAAAAAAAGTAGCCAAGAAGTTTACTATGGGTAGAAACTTGTCATGTTACTTGGTGCTCAGATTATTTCCAATGTCTTATTCGTTAATTCACAATGGAAGAGGAGAATAGGCCGATTGCAGGTTTTGAATGAGCTGAGGAGTTGTTGGCATTTCACTGGAACTTGAAGATATAAGTGAACAGGAAGAATGCCAGGGGCCAAAATACAGACCTAATGTGAATGACTGAGGGTCTTAATCTGCTGCTGGACTGTGCCACGTTCCGAACCGTGTTGAAGCACTGACTATATTGCAGGGTGGTTCCGAAACAAGTGTCAGGGCTAGTACTCATTATTAGCATTCTAAGTGGGTTTATTTTGAATTGTCCTGTAAAATTTAGATTCATTTCAATGAGCTAGAATATGGCCTTGAGCCATTAGACTGTCACCAATTCTGCTTTCTCGCTTTTTGTGATATATCCAAATATTTAGTTTGTGTTTTATGCTGGAATGAAAGTGAGATCAAATCCTGGCATTTTTTTATTGCTTTTTCTTGCTTTCTTAAAAACAAACCACAAGAATGCCAGAGACTTCATAAAAGTGAACGATGTTAAGCCTAATGGGTTTTAATTCTGTCACTCAAATTAAGCAAAAGGGGTTGGATATGACTGAATAAGAGAATGCCTGTTTTTCAGGTGTTGTAATACCTCGTGTGTAAAAATGCTGTCAACTGGTGAAAAGTGTAACATGTGAGGAGAGGTGCAGAGATATGAATTTGCAGAGATTATGAATTTGTTCAGTTTTAGGAAAAAAAAAAGCATCTAACATGAGATCTAGTTGCTCTTGGCTCCCTAATGGGATTACATAGAAAATGGAAGTCAGGCTCTTCTTTGTGGTACTCAGTGGAAGGAAGGGGGGAAATGGACACAAGTAGCAAAAAGGAAATTTTGATCCTGCATTAAGATAAGAATTTTCACAATGAATCTTTCTGGCATTAGTGATGAAGGCACATATTTTTCTCTATAACTTGGTCTCAAATATTATCAAGTCTACCCTGAAAGCTTATTCTAAATGAACTCTTTAATGAGTGATCTTTTTTAAGATAGATTGCTGGATAGATTGAAACAAATCAAGCAAATTGAACCTGAAGCGTAAGTGTTCATTTAAAAAACAAACAAACAAAAAATGTTCAGGTCTTTCTCTATCCTAGTCAGTTTTGGAAAGGAATGATGATTTCTCCTGCTTTCTCCTGATATATTTTGTTCAAACTACTCTGCCATGATGCTAGTTCCAGATTATTTTGGGTATCTAAATCAAAGCTATTAATTGTGGCTGATATTAATGCTAAAAGTTCTGTTGACCGCTTCCTGTGTAGTTTGGCCAGTTTTATCCCTGAAGATGTTTGCTAGCAGCAAATACAGAACTCGTTCAGCTTTAATTTCTCTTGTTCTTTTGTGGTCAGGGTGGGTTAGGAAGATTTGTGAGTCATTCATGAAGAGCAAAGGCATGCTGCTGTGCTCTTCTGGGTATGGTATTACTGTTCATCATATATATCACTGACTCTACCTAAATGTTCAGATAAAGAATGTAATCTGAGACTCATGCTGTTATACACAATAGAAAAGTTGAACGGAAACTTTTTAAAGTGTTGTTGGCTTCTTGAATATCTGTAAGACTTTGTTACCTCTGGTTTATGGTTCAAAGCCACAGAAGTGAGCTTACATCAGGATAATTTTGGAAAAAGCCAAAATTGGAAATGGAAGGCATATCTTGAAATGACATTTAAAATGTGAGACCATATAGGACCTCTTACTTAGCAAAATGCATGCAAGCTTTCCATGAGACCAAGATCTTTTGTAAATGACTGAAAACTACTGTGTGTTTTGTGCTGTCATGATCAAAGAATCTCTCTGTCTTCCTTCCTTCAAAACGTTGTTCTTCTATTAGGCCATTTTCCAGTGTCAAGAAAAAAAAGGCAGTGAGGATCAAATTATAATAGAAATACAGAAAAAATAAATTTGCAGATCAGAGCTATGAAAGCAGATTAAATTGATTATAAAATAAAGATTAAAAAATACGAATACTTAAGCAATAAAGCAAATTGTAGGAGAAAGAGAAAATAGGCATTAAAATGGGGAAGACCAATGTTAATGTAATTTCTGTTATGCTTATTTATCAAATGGACTTCTTCAGCAATTATATTTAATAATAAAAGTGGCAGGGATTTTCCTGGGTGAATATTGGAGAGACTTCTTCTGGGGCCCTTCTAGATATTTTAGTCATAGACTTTATTTTGGATGTTAAGTAGTGGATTCTGACGACCTCACAATTCCCTGAGTGTTCTGTTGGTGATAACAGGTGACAAAAGCCACCAGGTGATCATTGATGTCTAATGGGCATCACTAAAGTAAAACTTAATCCAAAAGTTATCGTATGTACTATGGTTTATCAGGATCTGATGCTATTTTAAAGATTGTGAAAGTGGCTCGTACTCTGCTAAGGAAACTTTTTAATAGTTTACCTGCTTTTTAAGTATCATTTATTTTGTAGAGTTTTCTTTATAATCTCTTTCTATTTGTAAAATTCAAAGTAAAAAAAAGAAAAACCACAACAAACCACAAACCAACCTTATTAACAACTTACATATTTGCTTGTTTAATTTACGGTTGTTTTGTTTGGATTCATTTTTTTTAATTATGAGTCTTTCAGACATCGTGGAAATTTATTGACTCGGGCGTCTGTTTTATATGACAAAAAATTACAGCCTCTGAACTATTTTCCCTCCTGATTTACAATGAAGTGTAAGCTGGCAGCCCTGCAAAAAAAAAAATGGATGGCACACCATTCAGATCAGTGTCGTATATGAAGCATGAGATGTTTTTGTGTACAGACTGTAGCACATGGAGAGTGTTGTTATAGCACCAAATCCCTCCTTATGAGGTTGGTTTTTTTTCCCCCCGACAATTCATTCAAAACCCCAAGTCTAAACCTGTACCAGAAAATTGCCTTCCACAATGGATGTTTAAAAAAATACATCTATGAGTTGTGGCTGAATATTCATTCACCTTACACTACCACAAGTATTTGTGATTTACAACATGCAATCATATGTGACACATATATATACACACATAAATATATACACTGCACCACCTTGAAAAATATCTTATGTCCCCAGCAGAACCTCCACTATGTGCAGTGGAGCAGGTTTCCAGTTAGCTGTGTGGGCCAGATAGTGCTGGCACCACAAGGAGCGGGGTGGTAGTACTGTCTCCTGGCCACAATGGGTAGCTTAGGACACTGTCTAACAAGCATTGAGATACTGCATTGCAGATGGGTTCTGAAGATCACATAGAGCCCATCACAAGTGTTTATCTCCTTTCTATAATTATTTACATTAATAAATGTAAGTTGTAAGTCACATCTTCCTTTTTGCTTAGAATGGAAGTCATCTTCAGCTGAGGCTTGCATCTTAATTGCACTCGGGTTCTTTATGTTGATCACAAAAAGATGATTTAAGTGCGTCTGTGTTAATCAACATTGAAGCAGATGAACAGCATGTGTACAGTCAGTTACTACTTTTCCTTAAATGGAAAAGTAATTTCTAGTTTATGACTGGTAAATTTTTGGATTTCTTGAATTATCATCCCCCTCTACTCTGCCTCTGGAGGACTGTGTCCAGTTCTGGGCTCCCCAGTTCAAGAAGGACAGGGAACTGCTGGAGAGTAGACTCTTTCTACATTAAGTATTTGGTCAGGAACAGAGGCCCTCTTCCAGGTAAAGGTTATGCATGATGGGTTGACCCCAGCCAGTAACTAAGCACCAACCCAGATGATCGTTCATTTACTCTTTGGGACAGGGGAGAAAATCAGAAGGGCAAAAGTGAGCAAAGGGCTCAAAGAGTCTACTATATGCAGAGCATCCACACAGAAAGTGGAGCATAAGATAACTGCTTGTGAGTTATGTCAGCTTTATAGTATAAAAAAGCATAGCAATTGTTTAAGACTTCAGATCATTATTTTGCCTGTGAAAGGCTGTATCTGAATGAGCCTCAAATTTGAGGTAGGCACGTCAGTGGCTGTTCTGTCAGCTGGTGCAAAATTGCCAAAGATCCTGACTTTTTTATTTTTTTAATTGAACTGTTTAAACACTCAAGAATCCTGTCCCAAAATGCCCTCAGTTTTTTCCTGTCCTTTTCTAAACTCTTTGGGTCTACGCAGTCCCATGTGTTCGTGCATGCTGCGTTTATTGTTCCCTAGAGCACTGAAGAATTAGTAAAGGAAAACTAATTTGAAGAAAGCAAACGGACCTTCA